AAAATTGTCACGAAGGCCCTTTGAAAATTTTTGTTCTAGTGCTTAAAAATCAATTTTGGAGATTTTTGAAACACTTTGGAAAATACCGGAGTTCTAAATATAAGAAAGTTAGTATAATTAATTGTATTATCCAGGGATGTGGACAATAATTTTTGATAACAAAAAATTGGCGTAAGTGCGACCCAAGAAATTCTGCTTCTTTGAAAATCATAAAAAGTGTTTGTGATTTTTGTTTTCTGATAAGCTCTACATTGAGTTGTATTATTCAATTTTTCATTTATTTGTTTCTTCAGTTTTTCGATCTGCAATTTTTCAAGTTTTACTTTACTTTGTCAATTTTATTCGATTTTTCAATGTTCTGATTTTTAAATTTTTTCTTTTTTTTTTGTCTTAATTGTATGAGTTTTTTATTTTTTCAGGTTTTCGATTTACGATTTTTCACTTTTTCACTTTTTTTTTTGTTTTTCAATTTTACGATATGCAACTCTTCGAATTTTCATTTTTAAATTTTTCATTCAGGTTTTTTATTGTCTTTATTTCTTCAATTTTTCGATTTTTCAATGTTCTGATTTTATAATTTGTCTTTTTTTAATGTGAGATTGTTTAGTTTTTGGATTTCTCAATTTTTCGTTGGATTTTTTAACTTCTAAATTTTTTGCTTTTTCGTTTTTTCAATTTTAGATTTTTCAGTTTCATGATTTTTCAATTTTTTGTTTCAATTTTGAATTGCAATTTATCTAGTTTTTTTGTAAATATGTAATTATAATTATAATTTTTTAAAATTTCCACTTGTTTAGATAAGACTGATTTTGGAACATCACATACCCTCTAAGAAAAGAGAGGGTGGGTGGGGGGGCTAGTATGTGATAAGATAAGACTGATTTTGGCAGATGACATAGCCACTAGGAAAATAGGGGTGGGTGGGCGGGGCTAGTACTTGTTAAGATAAGACTGATTTTGGCAAATGACATACCCTCCAAGAAAATACATAGTGAAAAATTTCATTTCCGAAAAAGTTGTTTAAAAATACTACAATTGAACTACTGAAGTATTGGATTTTAAAATTTTTCATTTACATATTAGATTTTTTAATTTTTCAATTCCTCGACATTTAATTTTTCAAATTTCCGATCATTCATTGTTAATTTTTCAAGTTTTCGATCTTCCAGTGTTAATCTTTCGAATTTACAATTCTTGTACTTTCCAGTTTTTCGATTCGATTCGTTTTTTATTTTTTTTTTTCTCGCTAGGATGTGATAAGATAAGACTGATTTTGGCAGATGATATAGCCGCTAAGAAAATAGGGGCGGGTGGGCGGGGCTAGTACTTGTTAAGATAAGACTGATTTTGGCAAAGGACGTACCCTCCAAGAAAATACGTAGTGAAAATTTTCATTTCCGAAAAAGTTGTTTAAAAATTCTACTATTGAACTATTGGATTTTAAAATTTTTCATTTATTAGATTTTTCAATTTCTCGATTTTTAATTTTTCAATTCCTCGACATTTAATTTTTCAAATTTTCGATCATTCAGTGTTAATTTTTCAAGTTTTCGATCTTCCAGTGTTAATCTTTCGAATTTACAATTCTTGTACTTTCCAGTTTTTCGATTCGATTCGTTTTTTAGTTTTTTTTCGATGAAAAATCGGACAATTAAAAATTGAAAACCTGACAAATGGGAAAATGAAAAATTGTAATATCAAAAAATTGCAAATCGAAAAACTGAAGAAATGAAAAATGAAAAAATCGAAAGAATAAAAATTGAGAAACAAAAAAAACGAGATATTGAAAATGAAGGAAATGGGAAGAACGGACAACTAGAAATCCAAAAAGTGCATAATTATTCGAAATTGTAAAAGTTGGAAAACCTAGAAACTAAAATGAAAAAGTCAAAGATTAAAATTTTGGAAAATTTAATAAACGAAAAAATTACGAAATCGAAAGAGACAATGAAAAATAAAAGGGATGAAAAATAAAAATTAAGAACTTGAAATACTGGGCAAACGAAAAATTGAATAAAATCGAAAAATTAAAATCGACAATCTCAAAAACCGGAAAATGAAAAATTGTAATACATATCAAAAAATTGCAAATCCAAAAATTCAAGAAACGAAAAATTCAAAAATCGAAATAATAGAAATTGCAAAGAAAAAAGGAAATATGTGTCTAATGTAAAATCGAAATATTCAAAATTAAAGAAATCGGAAAATCGGATAACTGGAAATCCAAAATTTGCAAAATTGGAAAATCGTTGAATTGAAAAATCAAAGATGGAAAATTTGAAAAATTGAATAAACGAAAAATTATAAAATCGAAAGAAACATTGAAAAAATAAAAGACATGGAAAACAGGAAAAATTGTTATATAAAACCGAGAAAATGAAAATTAAGAAACCGAGAAAATGAAAAATAAAAATCAACAACTTGAAAAATTGAGGAAACGAAGAATTCAAAAATCGAAAGAATAAAAATTGAGAAACGAAAAGACGAGCGACAAATGTATTGTAAAATCGAAATATTGAAAATTGTGGAAAAGGAAAAAATGGAAAACCAGAAATCCAAAAATTGCAAAATTGGACATTTTAAAAATTGAAAAATCGAGGAACTATTTAAAATAAAAAAATCAAAAGTTGAAATTTTGAAAAATCGAATAAAGGAACAAATTATAACATGGAAAGAAACGTTGAAAAAATAAAAGGAATGAAAAATAAAAATTAAAAACTTGAAAAATTGGGCAAACGAAAAACTGAAAAAAAAAATTGTAATATGAAAAATTAAAAAATCGAAAGAAAAGAAATTGAGAAATGTAAAATCGAAATATTAAAAACTAAAGAAATCGGAAAATCGGATAACTGGAAATCCACAAATTGCAAAATTGGAAAATCGATTAATGAAAAAATCAAAGATGGAAAATTTGAAATATTGAATAAACGAAAAATTATAAAATCGAAAGAAACATTGAAAAAACTAAAGACATGGAAAAAGGGAAATTTGTGATATAAAATCGAGAAAATGAAAATTAAGAAACCGAGAAAATGAAAACAAAATCAAGAACTTGAAAAATTGAGGAAACGAAGAATTCAAAAATCGAAAGAATAAAAACTGAGAAACGAAACAACGAGCGACATATGTATTGTAAAATCGAAATATTGAAAATGAAGGAAAAGGAAAACCAGAAATCCAAAAATTGCAAAATTGGACATTTCAATTGTAAAATCGAGGACCTATTTAAAATAAAAAAATCAAAAATTGAAATTTTGAAAAATCTAATAAAGGAACTAATTATAACATCGAAAGAAACATTGAAAAATAAAAGGAATGAAAGATAAAAATTAAAAACTTGAAAAATTGGGCAAACGAAAAACTGAAAAATCGGAAAATAAAAAATTGGAATATTAACAAATTTCGATCCGAAAAACTGAAGAACGAAAAACTGAAGAAATGAAAAATTAAAAAATCGAAAGAAAAGAAATTGAGAAACGAGAAAACGAAATATGTATACATATAACGTAAAATCGAAATATTCAAAACTAAAGAAATCGGAAAATCGGATAACTGGAAATCCAAAAATTGCAAAATTGAAAAATTTCAAAATTGGAAAATTTGAAATATTGAATAAACGAAAAATTATAAAATCGAAAGAAACATTGAAAAAATAAAGGACACGAAAAAAGGAAAACTTGTGATATAAATCGAGAAAAATAAAAATCAAAAATTTGAAAAATTGAGGAAACGTAGAATTCAAGAATCGAAATATTGAAATGAGGAAAATGGGAAGAACGGATAACTAGAAATCCAAAAAAATAAAAAGTCAAACATTGAAATTTTGAAAAATTGTTTAAACGAAAAAGTTATAAAATCGAAAGAAACATCGAAAAAATAAAAGAAATGAAACATAAAAATAAAGAACTTGAAAAATTGAGGAAACGAAAAATTCAAAAATAGAAAGAATAAAAACTGAGAAACGAAAAATGTAATATAAAATCGAAATACTAGAAATTAAAGAAATCGGAAAATCGGGTAAATGGTAATCCAAAAATTGCAAAATTGAAAAATTTCTAAACTGGAAGTCGAGGAACTGAAAAATCGAAAATTTGAAAATTTAAAAAATTGATAAACGAAAACGAAAAATAGTAAAATTGAAAGAGGCGTTGAAAAAATAAAGAAAATGAAACAACGAAAAATTGTGATATTAAATCAAGAAAATGAAAATTGAGAAATTGAAAAAACGAAAAATTATGAAATCGAAACATTGAAAAGTGGGAACTGAAGAATGAAAGAAAATGAAAAAAGAAAAATTGTGGTATCAAAAAATTGGTCGAAGGTAAACAATTAATAAAATAAATTGCCTGATTCAATTTTTTTTTTGAGTGTATACTATGAGTGTATTCATAAACCACAAGTATAGAGTAATAATATTTTGCATATTTCAGAGAGGATTTATTAGCCAAAATTTTGAAATGATGTCATGACTTTTTTGGAGGGAATCAACGAATAAACTTTATTAACGTTTTAAGATTATTATCGTAATCGTGGTAAATCACGATTACGACAACCTTAAAACGGTTGCAAGATTTCAGGGCATTCGGTTTTGCAGTTTCAAAGTTAAATTGCAAAATGTTACACAATTTTGATTTTTTTTTTCAAAAATCTGGATGTCTAGGGTGAAAATTCAAGATGGATTATCCATGATAAGGGCCGGGGTATCTTATTTTATAATTAAAAAAGAAACAATTATTGGACGCTTAGCAATTAAAGTGCAAAATTGTGATATGGCTTTCGACAAGTCCTGATCTTAACCCTATTGAAAATGTATGGGGCAATATCGTTCACGAGGTAGTTATCTAAATGCTGTATTCAGCTGGACGCTAAAATCGTGATCGTGATAATTTTTTGTCCCTCATCTCATTTGTTTAAGAGTGTTGATTTTCGAGTAGTACTAGACGTAGCACCGAGTAGGTCCTCCGCATCAGTTATAGAAATGTCTGTATTGAAGGACTCACCTTCTTCTCCGTGAGCTTCTCGCACCTCCTCTGCTTGCAGATCTGGTGGCTCTTGTCGTTCCTGCACGGCGCACAGTCACCACAATTGTCCTTCCGCTGGCACCCGATGCATTCCCCGCACCGCTTCCGCTTCTTCTTGACCTGCTTGTCGACGCCGCCGCCGCCGCTGATCTCGTCCATCTCCACGTTGTTGGCCATCTGGTGCTTGAACCCCGCCGTGCTCGAGATCGCCGCCACCTGTCCCGAGTTCTCGGAGGCGGCGATCTCCATGTTGCTCGAGGCCCCGTCGCTCTCCGCCGAGCTCTCCAGACTCGAGGCGCGCATTTTTCGGCGCTCCTTCTTCCGGAAGTCGTTCCTCGTCGGAGAACTCATCGTCGCACTGATACCGTTCAGTTTTTTGTCGAGTCCGTTGTAAATACCGTTATCACTGGCCATCGGGTTCTGGAACTGCGGGTGCACCATCTTCAGCGTCGGGTCCTGGATGGCCGCCAGCTTCAGCTCGGGCTCCGACTTGAGCACCGTCACCACGGTGGGCGACGAGATCAGCGGCGCGTTCTGGATGATGGCGCCGTTCTGCGCCGGGAAGATGCCCATGGTGTTGGCCGGGTGGGTGTAGAGCTGGATGTGGCGCTCGTCGAGGAACTGCTGCTGGATGGAGGGGATCTCGCGGGCCTGGATGGGCGCCGGCACCAGCGGGTAGCCGCGGTTGACGGCGCTCAGCGCGTGGAAGTTGGAGTTGAGGGGCGCGGACGAGTTGGGGGACACGGGGGTGAGGTTGGTGAGCGTGGTGAGGGTGGTCTCGGCGGCGGGCGGCGCGTCCGAGAACGACTGGAACTGGCTCTGGAACGACGGCAGCTTCGACACGCCGTTCTGCTGGTTGAACGAGTCGGCGAAGGTGTTGATGGGGGTGGTGGCGGTGAACGTGGAGGTGGCGTCCACCGACTTGGACTCCCATGGTCGGTACTGCGGCTGCGACGAGATGATGGACAGCCCGTTCTCGGAGCGGTCTAGCAGCCGGGCCTCGGTGTAGTAGTCCCAGTTTGATATGTCCAGGAGGCGGGTGTCGCTGAAGAGGCGGTCGGCGCCGGGGTCCATCTCCGCCGAGAAGGTGGAGAAGGGCGGCAAGTGGGGCCCATCTTGCACCGTCGAGCTGGGGGTGGCGGGCGTCGGGGGGTAGGAGGGCGCCAAGTTCGTGTACCCCTCGGGGTCTTGGCTGAGGGTCTCGCTCATCTTGTCATCGTGTTACGTTATTGTCATTTTCCTGAAGTTCGCTGAGTTCTGGTCTGGTTTGTACTCTTCTCAATTTGTACTGTACGGTTTTCGGTTATCGTATAAAAATAGCGCTCTTACTTGTACATCGTCTCTTATAAAAAATAATATCTGGAAAAGAACACAACATGAGGGTGAGAGTGAAAGTGTGATAGGCGATACTGTACTGGGGATTTTTGCGAGATTGTCGCCGATTTTGTCACAACGCAGCCGCGCTGTAATGCATTTCCTAGTTGCCTGTGGGGTCACGGTCGCTGTTCGCGGGTTGTTGCTTGTGAATACAAGGGAAAGTAAAATAGGGCTTAAAAAGCGCATGCGCCTGCAATTTTGTCGATCCTGGGACGCTCCGCGAAATGAAAACAATCCGATTCGCAAAATCAATCGGAATTAAAAAAAAAAAATCAAACACGCCACCCCTTACCCACACCACCCTTTCTCGAAAAAAAACAAAAATCCGCCGGCAGCCCCGTCACGGGGTTTCCCCCTTTCCCGAAACCCGACAACAACAACAACAATCAAAACAATAAACAAAAACAGCGACACGCACAAATCAGCCGGTTTATTTACCTACGGCTAGCAAAAGTTTGAGGGGAGGTGATAACAGGGCGATAGTGCGTAACAAGTACGTAAAAAAATCGTGGACACTGACCATGTGTAAATAAAAAAATGTTCGCACACACACCACCAAGCACGCACGATGTGAAAATACAACTGACGACGCTACGCACACTTTGAAGCTTTCATGTCTCGCGCTTCGCATCTGTCGTGCTTTAAGCCAATCACAAGCTTTACTTTCCACCGGTGACACTGGAAGTTCCGCTGTGTATGACTAGCGAAATGTGCCTCTATTTTTGCGTAATTATTAACGTCTTCGCCTGAAGACTTCCATTTTTAGCCTTATTTGCTCGCTCCGATAAGGCGCGTGGGTGGATTTTTTCGATAAAGCGAACAACGAGCTTTTGCCACTTCCTCCTATTTACCGAAAAAGCAGCTTTCGCAGCTGGACTCCACTCTCCCGTCTCCCGTCTCCCGTCTCCCGTCTATTTGTTTTTGTTATTTCGTTGCCGGGCTCGCCATCTTCGGCAGGAAGTCCGCCTGCGGAAGCGGCGGCCACATTCGCAACCCCTTTTAGTTTAAATAACTTTTTGTCTTTTCGTCGCCGGTTTCGGACGTTTCCTTTTCGCGTTTTCGCCTCCCCGACCTCGACCAAAGCCGCTGCTCATTTTGCAACTCCCTCCCGCCGGCTGTCCTTTGTAAATAAAGGAAACATCGACGGGGAGGTGGCACGGCATAACAATTTCCTTTTGTTTCCTGGACGGTTGTCGATGGCGCCATCTGTGCATCGTTCGGGCGTAATTTATGGCCTTAATCTCGTTTTCTACACGTTTAATTAAAAAATGATTTTTTTAATGACGGGGTCTGGGGAGCAATCGAGAGCGCATTAAGGATCGGTTGCGACCGTGATGAGCTTTTTAATCAGCTTAAGTTGACGTTAAACCGGTTCTTCGAGCTTGAGTGCGCTTTCGAGGCGCGAAATGGAGACGGCGCCCGGAGACAGGCAACCAGCAATATGCCACTGCAATACTGGTTGTCTAACGTACAGAAAACTGGATAAACTGGAAGAATTGATACACAACTTCAGATAAACCGGACTTTAGAAGAATAAACATGAAAAGAAGTAAACACATGATAAAATATTCACGTTCCACTCAAAAGGACGAAGAAAGTGGGTTGATTTGATTTGATTATTTCTATAAAATGGAAGCCAAAAATAAATATTTTTTTTATCTTTCTCATATACACGGTGAGTCACTAAGCGCGCGATATTCCGTTAATTTTATTATATATTTTTATTTTATTTTTTAATATTGGTATTATTAAAAATCATAAGCTGTTAGAATGGTACTATGCATCTAAAATGTTAACTGTATCATATCTGGAAACACATACGTTTTAAATTTGGTACCTTAAAATCCACCAATCGAATGTGCTAATTGATTTAAAAAATTCATTGTTGCCAACCTAAATTTGAATGCGGATAAATACATAGTATAATTTTTTTCATTTGATCGGCGGTCACTCAGTCGTACAACAGGTACGTAAGGTTATTTTTAGAGTCCATCTTACAATATTTTGTGGAAGGATAAATAATGCTCTGGTATCGATTAAATCATATTTTAATATACAGGGTGTTTATAAAACATTCTAAATGTAGAAAATTCTCAGCAAAAAAGATAAAGAACAAAAATAGAATCATATGCAGTAATAAAATGCGGGGTTTTCTATTTGAAAAATTGAAATATCCATATTTTAAAATTCTAATAATTAAAACAAATGCCTTTTTTATTTCTCCACAAAATGTTATACATAACACAAATTTTGAAAATAATCCTATAAGTCCCCTGTGTTTCAATTTCAGATAAATTTAAAGGAATCTGGTGTTTTGTTGCTTGATGAACTTAAAAAAATCTTATGAGGTATTGGTGCTTTATTTTTTTTGAATTTGAAAGAGTTTAGAGTGTCGGAGTGTTTTTTTTTAATTCGGGAGACTCTTGGATATCCACGGTGTATTATTTTGGGACCCCATGGAGATTCTTTTGTAAATTATTTAAAACAATTTTGAGGGACTTTGGTATTCTATTTTTGAAAAATTATGATATGACCTGTTTTTGAGTTAATTTTGGGACCCCGTTTTTTTTTTGAAAAATTTAAGACAATCTTGGGCTTCTAGGTATTCTTGTTTGGGAAGAATTTGAAAGGCTTTGGAGTCTCTAGTGTCTTTTCTTATAATAATTTAATTAAATTTCTTAGAAGACACGTCATTTGCCAAAATCAGTCTTATCTTAACGCCTTCTAGCCCCGCCCACCCACCCTCTCTTTTCTTAGAAGGTATGTGATTTGCCAAAATCAGTTTTATCTAAGAAGGTACTAGCCCCGCCCACTTTTCTTAAAGGGTATCTGATTTGCCAAAATCAGTCTTATCTTAGCACGTTCTAGCCCCACCCACCCACCCTCTCTTTTCTTAGAAGATATGTGATTTGCCAAAATCAGTCTTATTTTAGCAACTACTATTAAAATAATCGAAAATTCGAAAAATCGAAAAATCTAATAACCAAAAAATCAAAACCTTAAAAAATCGTAAAACCGAAACATTGAAAAATCGAAATATCGAAGAACTGAAAATCGAAAAATGAAACATCAGAAAATCGAAAAAATGTAAAATTCAAAAATCTAAAATTTAAAAACCGAATAACGAAAAATCGAGAAATCGAAACTCCCAAATTTAAAAAATCGGATAACTGAAAAATCGAAACATCGAAAAACCGAGAAATCGAAAAATCAAAATATCAAGAAATCGTGGGGTCGAAAAGTCGAACAATTGAGAAACCGAAATAGGCCAAAATCGAAAATCGAAAAGTTAAAAATTGAACAATTTATAAATTGAGAAATTGGCAATCAAAATAACGAAAAATCCAAATCTCGATAAATCGAGAAACAAAAAACTTAAAAATTCGAAAAATTGAAAAATTGAGAGATTGAAAGATCAAAAGAACGAGAAATCGAAAAGTGATGAAGTCGAAAAATCGAAAAATAGAGAAATCGACAAACAAAAAGTTAAAAGTTGAAAAATTGGAAAAGCGGAAAAATCAAAAAACGAAAAAATGGCAAACTGGAAAAACTGAGAAACCGAAATAGGCCAAAATAAAAATTGAAAAACTGATAAATCGAAAACCTGAACAATCAAATCTCGATAAATCGGGAATGAAAAATTAACAAATCGAAAAATTGAAAAACACAACATCTAAAACCAGGAAGTCGAAAAATCCAAACATTAAGAAATATTGAAAAATTAAAATATCGAAAAATTGAAAAATCTAAAATTTGAAAATCCAAAAATTGAAAAAACGAAAAATCCAGAAGTCAAAAATAGAGAAGCCGAAGAATTCAAATATTGAGAAATCTTAAAACTGAAATATCTAAAAAATGAAAAATCGAAAAATCAAAAAACTGAAGTCGAAAAATAAAAATATGTATTGAAAAATCGAAAATTGAAAAATCAAAAACGTGAAAAATCAAAAAATTAAAGAACTGAAGAACAGGAAAATCGAAACACTCAAAGGTCAGGAAATGGGAAAATCAAAACATCAATTAATTGAAAAATCGAAAAATTGAGTTTGTGAAAGTCAAATTTGAAAAATTAAAAAATCGAAAATTTGACAAAATGACAATTGAAAAACAGAAAATTTAAAACCAGGAAGTCGAAGAATCAAAAGATTAAGAAATCGAAACATTTGAAAAATTGAAATATCGAAAAACTGAAATGAAAAATCGAGAAATTGAAAAATCTAAAATTTTAAATATTAAAAAATCTAAAATCGAAAAATTGGATAAATAAAAAATTGTAAAATAATAAAATTGAAAAATCCGATAATGTTAATATGGACAAATTACAAAACAATAAACTGAGACATTAAGTTGAAAAATCAAGAAATTGGAAAATCTGATAACTATAGAGCGAAAACTTAAAAAATCTAAAAACTTTGAAACCGAAAACCTTCTAAAATTCAAATATCAAAAAATTGGAAAATCGGGAAATTGCAAAATTATGAAACTGAAAAATCTTGAAACTTGAAAAATTAGAAATAAAAATTTTGAAATAGTAAAAATCAAAAAAATTACAAAATGGAAACAACAAAATTCGGGGATTGAAAAATCAAAAACTTGAAAAATTAAAGTCAAAATTTTAAAGAACTGAAAATCAAAAAATTGAAAATTTGTAAAATTCCAAAATTGAAAAATTGGATAACTGTAAAAACAATTAAATTTCAAAAATAACAAATTGTAAAAGTATAAAATTTAAAAATTTAAAAACTTTGAAATCGAAAAAATTCAAATATCAAAAAATTGAAAAATCGAGTAATTGTAAAATTATGAAACTTATAAATCAAAAACTTGGAAAATTGGAAGTCAAAATTTTGAAATATTAAAAATAAAAAAAAATATAAAATGGAAACAACGACATACGGGGACCTGAAAAATAAAAAATCGGCAATTTTGGAAACGAAAAACTGTAAAATAATTAAACCGAAAAATCAAAAACTTAGAAAGTTCAAATCACAATTTTAAACAATTGAAATCCAAAAAATTGAAAATTTGTAAAATTGCAAAATTGAAAAATTAAATAACTGTAAAAAAAAATTAAATTTCAAAAATAAAGAATTGTAAAAGTATAAAATTGTAAAATCGAATAGCGGTAATATCGAAAAATTACAAAACGTATTATTGAAAAATCAAGAAATTGGAAAATCTGTTAACTGTAGAGTCAATACTTGAAAAATCTAAAAACTGTGAATCCGAAAAACTTACAAAATTCAAATATCAAAAAATTTAAAAATTGATACATTGTAAAAATATGAAACTGATGAAACCGGGAAGCCGAAAAATCAAAAGATTAAGCAATCGAAAAATTGAAAAATCGAAAAAGTAAAAAAATCGACACATCGAAAACTCCATAAGCCAAAAATCGAAAAGTCGAAGAATCCAAATATTGAAAAATCCCAAAACTGAAATATCGAAAAACTGAAAAATGAAAGAAAAACTGAAAAATGGAAAACATGAAAACTCCGAAAACTGAAACATCCAAAAACTGAGAACCTAAAAAGTCGAAAAATTGAGCAATAGAAAAATCCAAAAAGTTAAGTCGAAAAATTGAAACAAAAAATAAAAAAATCAAAAATCAAAAACCTGAAAAATCGTAAAATTAAATAATTGAAGAACAGGAATATGGAAACGCTCGAAAATCAAGAAATGGGAAAATCAAAACATCGATTAATTGAAAAATAAAAAAATTGACACTTTATAAATGTCAAATTTGAAAAATTGAAAAATCGAAAATTTGATAAAACGACAATTGAAAAACAGAAAATCTAAAACCGGGAAGTCGAAAAATCGATTGATTAAGAAATCAAAACATCTGAAAAATTCGAAAACTTGAAAAACTGAAATATTAAAGAACTGAAATGAAAAATCGAGAAATCGAAAAATCTAAAATTTAAAAATCGAAAAATTGAAAAATCGAAAAAGTAAAAAAATCGACACATCGAAAAATTCAGGAGTCAAAAATTAAGAAGTCGAAGAATCGAAATATTGAAAAATCCCAAAACTGAAATATCGAAAAACTGAAATATCGAAAAACTGAAATATCGAAAAACTGAAAAATGAAAGAAAAACTAAAAATGGGAAACTAAATCGGGAAATCAAAACATTGAAAAATCGAAAAATTAAAACGACAATTGAAAACAGAAAATCTAAAACCGGGAAGTCGAAAAATCGGAAGATTAAGCAAACGAAAAATTGAAAAACCGAAAAAGTAATAAAAATCGACACATCGAAAACTCCAGAAGCCAAAAATCGAAAAGTAAAAGAATCAAAATATTGAAAAATCCCAAAACTGAAATATCGAAAAACTAAAAAATGAAAGAAAAACTGAAAAATGGAAAACCTGAAAAATCCGAAAACTGATATCCAAAAACTGGAAACCTAAAAAGTCGAAAAATTGAGCAATAGAAAAATCCAAAAACTGAAATATCGAAAAACTAAAAAATGAAAGAAAAACTAAAAATGGGAAACTAAATCGGGAAATCAAAATATTGAAAAATCGAAAAATTTGAAACGACAATTAAAAACAGAAAATCTAAAACCGGGAAGTCGAAAAATCGAAAGATTAAACAATCGAAAAATTGAAAAACCGAAAAAGTAAAAAAATCGACACATCGAAAACTCCAGAAGCCAAAAATTGAAAAGTCGAAGAATCAAAATATTGAAACATCCCAAAACTGAAATATCGAAAAACTGAAAAATGAAAGAAAAACTGAAAAATGGGAAATCTGAAAAATCCTAAAACTGAAATATCCAAAAACTGAGAACCTAAAAAGTCGAAAAATTGAGCAATAGATCATCCAATCCAAAAAGTGAAGTCGAAAAATTGAAACCTTAAAAAAATTAAAAAATAAAAAATCAAAAATCTGAAAAATCGAAAAATTAAAGAATTCAGGAATATGGAAACCCTCGAAAGTCAAGAAATGGGAAAATCGAAACATCGATTAATTGAAAAACCGAAAAATTGAAAAAACAACAATTGAAAAACAGAAAATCTAAAACCGGGAAGTCGAAAAATAGATTGATTAAGAAATGAAAACATTTGAAAAATTCGAAAACATGAAAAACGGAAATATCGAAGAACTGAAATAAAAAATCGAGAAATTGAAAAATCTAAAATTTTAAATATTGAAAAATTAAAATACCAAAAAATTGAGAAATCTAAAATTTAAAAATCGAAAAAGTAAAAAGTCGACACATCAAAAATGGAAAAATCCAAGATTAGAAATATTGAAAAATCCCATAACTGAAATATCGAAAAACGAAAGAAAAACTGACGAATCGAAGAACTGAAAAATCCCAAAGCTGAAATATCCAAAAACTGAGGGTCTAAATTATCGAAAAATTGAGAAATCGAAAAATCAAAAAAGTGAAGTCGAAATATCGCAACCTTAAAAAAATCGAAAAATTGAAAAATCAAAAACCTGCAAAATCGTAAGATCGAAAAATTGAATAATAAGTAAACTGAAAAATCCCAAAACTGAAATATCCAAGAACTGAGAAATTAAAAAATTGAAAAATTGAGAAATCGAAAAATCAAAAAAGCGAAGTTGAAAAAATCGAAACCTGGAAAAATAGAAAAAAAACAAAAAACCTGAAAAATCAATTAATTGAAAAATCGACAAATAAAGGGTTTATAAAAGTCAAAAATTGAAAAATCGAAGTATTTAAAAATCGTAAAATTAAAGAGAAAAACTGAAAACCCAGAAATTGAAAAATTGAGAAAATGTAAAACCCAAAAATTGAATAATAAATAGAACTGAAAAGCCCCCAAACTAAAATTTCGAAAAACTGAGAATTTTGGGGGAGTTTGGTGTTCTGTTTTTGGAAAATTCTGACCTGACTTGTTTTTGAGTTAATTTTGGAACCCCTTTTTTTGGAAAATTTAAAACAATCTTGACGTTCTAGTTTTAGGCTCTAGTGATTAGTAATTTCTTAGAGGATACGTCATTCGCCAAAATCAGTCTTATCTTGGCAGTTATTAGCCCCGCCCACCCACCCTCTCCTTTCTTAGAGGGTATGTGATTTGCCAAAATCAGTCTTATCGTGGCAGCTACTAGCCCCGCCCACCCACCCTCTCTTTTCTTGGAAGGTATATCACTACCAAAACGATTTTATCTTAGCAAGTACTGATGACTAACTTTTAAAAAAGGATCAAAATTTGGAAACATCTTCTCTAGTGTTTAGTTATATAGCTACAAATAATTTCTTACAATTAATGAGATTAATTTAAGAGTTTTGAGTTCGAACTCCACATTTATGAATTTGTTGTTTTATTAAATTATTAAATTTGAAACGATAAATAAAATGTAGGGCAACTTTACCAAATAAAATTAAGTTTTTAACAAAAAAAAAGATTCTGTTAGGTATTGAAAGTATAAATGGCAATAATGTTATGCTGCTTTTGCTGTAACATGGTTTCTAGTGTTGGTATTATGGATAGTCGGAGAAAGTGAGGTTATGTTAGGACATGAGATATCAAGGAACGAGAAAGAAATCAAGATAACTTTGAAATATTTAAAAACCGGCTAGTTTTTGGCGGGAGTTTCGAATGATACTCGGTTTAACAGTGGTAAAAGAAACAATTTTATTAATAACTTATAAACACGACAGATATAAACATACAAATATAAATATATACACATATAAATATCGCTAACATTTATAATATAATATATTACAGCAGTTTATAAAACATTCGTAGCAAACCCTATAGGTAGTCTCCCTTAAACCGCTACAGTTAAAATTGAAGTTTTTGATTGGAAGGCAAATTTGTGGAATTACTGATAATAATCTGGTTTGATTGCTATTTCCGAGATGAATGCGTGCTGTAAAACGATGATACTCCACTTAAACCGAAACATAACCTCTGAACGTCTCCCTTATGCGCACCAAAGGCACAATTTTGTGGTCAATTTCATGTAGCTTATATGAATCAACAACTCTTGAATAAAGAAAGATACGATCGATATCTAGCATGAGAGTGCACGAAATTAAGGCCTGATTCGTGTTATAAAACGAACGCAAACATCGAGTAAATTTTAACACTATTACCAACGTCAGAATGTGAAAATTCCTCTGCAACCCCGCACGCACTAGAGTCTCATTTGGCTGGCTTCTCGAACTTGACCTCGCGCTCTTTCCGCCGCAACGAGCGCTTGTTGGAGTGCACCTCGGGGATGCGCAGGTTCGACTGGCCCATGAAGGGCGACGTCGCCGGGAACTGGTTGGCCACCAGCGGCACCCAGCACTGGGTCTGCAGCTTGCCGAGGGACCCCACTAACAAACAAAACAGTCAGTCAGCTATACACCCGTGTATTGCTGGTTGCCTACTCACTTTCGGTGGAATTCAGCGAACTCTTCCTGTGGGAGACCTTGTAAGCCTGCGAGCGCACCAGGCCGGTGGTGCCGGTGTTGACGGCGTCCATGGACATGCTGCGGTTGTGGGCTTTGGCCCAAATTTCGTCCCTACGGCCCCTGCTGCGCTCGTCGCTTAGCCCGGTTAAATGCTCGTTCAAGGCGTAGAGTTTCTGCGTGATGTCTTTACCTATGATGGAGTCCAGGATGACTTTGAGCACCGGTCGGTGCCTCAAGACCCGCTCCAGCTTCATCCGAGGCCAGCATAAGTACACACTGTCTTCTTCAGCGGTGATGGTCACTTGGAAAACGTCGTCGGATTGTTCGTGGTTCGACTCCCATTCGGGGGAGTCGACGAACTGGTGAACGTTGATGAAATGCAGGTGTGTGTCATCACAAGTTACGCGCAGTCTGGAAATTGGTTGGTTATTTTGTGGTTTTAAGTGTGAAGGGTACTCACTTTCCTTTGAGCAAAATAGACAGTCTTTCGTCGGCCGGGCTGACATCCTCTACTGCGTAGATGTCTCCCCGCTCTAGCGTCATCACTCTGGCTTCTTTGACCAGTTCTTTGAAGTGTTTGCGGCTTACTCGCAGCGGCTTGAAGACTTTCATGTATAAATCGGTTAACTCGAGGGTGAGAGTGGGTGGAAGGAATCTCCAGGCTAGTAAGGCGGTGTGTGTTAGGTTGAGGATGACGAGAAGAGAGTTCCAGAGGAGGATGTCGGGGGCGCAGACTTCTACTCCTCCCCAAACTGTTAAGAAGAAATAACCAATTGACAGGAGAGCCCTGAAATTAAAAAAAAAAACAGTTGTAATATAAATGGAATAGAAATGGTGTCTAGACAAAAAATTAATAGCTGAAGTTAAACAATTACCATTAGTGTCATTTTCGGGAACCCTTTATTGACGATGGAACAATAAGATAGAGTAACCACTGTGTATGTATTAATCAAAGAATCGCGTGTCTTTAAGTAATTCTTGTTATTATTGTCACTCAACTGTCACGATTGTTGTCCATCAAGTTGTTATGATATTTATTTATTTTCGCCGCTTTTAGTAATAACATGTTTTGATTTTTTTTTGCTTCCACGGGTCGATGTTGGTTTACTTTATTTTAAAATAAATACGATAGAACAAAACGTTCTCGTTTTCTCTCTCTCTTTCTCTCACTCTCTTTATCCTGTTCGCTAATTGTTAAAGAGAGAGTGTTAGATCAGGTTAGGTTCGGTCAGGTCAGGTCAACTTAATTTAAGTTGGGTTAAGTCAAGATAGGTCAAGCCAAGTCAGTCAGGTCAGAGAATTCAAGTCAGTTTACGCTAGTTAGGTCAGGTCAAGGTCAGGTACCTATTTGACATTTTGGTTAACGCCATTTTCTTGCAGATTTCGACATGCAGAAGTCATTTTCGATTTCGTTTTGTCGAAAATTCCCATCGTCAAGATTTTATAATTTTTTGAGATTTTTAAGACAACTTTTTCAAAAGCTCAATTTTTCAAAATTCCTCATTTTGACATTTTCGACCATCTTACGACAACGTTTGAAATGTAGCCAAAGACATTTTCTTCCAGATTTTGGCGTACAAAAGTCATTTTCGCCTTCGTTTCTTTGAAAATTCCTCCTGTTTTCTGAGAATCGCCAATTGAAATATGGTACTTTTTCGAGTTTTAAAATCTCGCTTTCAAAGCGAATATTTCGCAAATTTTGGTCCACGACTATAAACACGATAGATTTTTCAAAACACTACGTCAAAATCTATATTCCAGAATTTTTTGAGAATTTTTTGACAACTTTTCCAAAAGATCAAGTTTTGACATTTTCAACAATTTTTCGACCACTTTCAAAAATTAGGTAGATATTTTCTTGTAGATTTCGACAAGCAGAAGTGATTTTCGGTTTCGTTTCTTTGAAAATTCCTACCATTTTTCCAAAATTGACAACTGAAACATTGCTAGTTTTAAGACTTTTGAAAACATTCCATTTTCAAACCGAATTTTTCTGAAAATTTTGATTTTTTGAGAATTTATTTGGCAACTTTTCCAAAATTCCAATTTTTCGATACTCTCCTTTTTGATGTTTTCGACCATTTTACGACCAAGTCATTTTTGGCTTCGTTTCTTTGAAAATTCCTCGTGTTTCCTGAGAATCGCCAATTGAAATATGGTAATTTGTTAGACTTTAATAGCTCACAAATTTTGGCCCAGGACTATAAACACGCTATATTTTTGGAAACAATAGTTTAAGACCTACATTTCAGAATATTTAGAGAATATTTTGCAAACTTTTCCAAAATCTCAATTTTTCACATTTTCGACAATTTTTCGACCACCTCCGAAAACTAGCTAGATATTTTCTAGATGTAATTTTTGGCTTCGTTTCTACGGTTTTTTTTTTCAAAATCGATAATTGAAACATTGCAATTTTTAAGATTTTTAACAAATTCCATGTTCAAATCGAATTTCTCTGAAATTTTGATCCAGGACTATGAATACTATATTTTTCCAACCAGTAGGTCAATAATTCCATAATTTTTTGAGAATTTTTTCGCAACTTTTTCAAAACTCCAATTTTTCAGTATACTTTTTTGACATTTTCGACTATTTTTGGCCACCTTCGAAAATTAACCAAAGACATTTTCATGTAGATTTCGACATCCACAAATCAGTTACTGCTTTGTTTCTTTGCAAATTCATTCCGTTTCCTCAGAATTGCCAACTGAAATATGGTAATTTCTAAGACGTTTTAAATCCGCTACATTTTTCGAAACAGTACGTCAAGATCTACATTTCTGGATTTTTTTGAGAATTTTTTGAAATTTTTTCCAAAAATTCAACTTTTGACATTTTCCATAGTTGTTCGACCACTTTCGAAAATTACGTACATATTTTTCCTTGTAGATTTCGATAAGCAGAGCTGATTTTCGGCTTCATTTATTTGAAAATTCCTACCAGTAATTGAAATATTGCAAATTTTGAAAGATTTTTTGAAAAGTCAGTTTTCAGACCAAATTTTTCTGAAATTTTGATCCGGGACTATGAACATTATATTTTTGGAACCAGTAGACAAGATCTATATTCCATAATTTTTTCAGATTTTTTTCAACTTTTCCAAAATTCCTATTTTTCAATACTCTTTTTTTTGACATTATCGACCATTTTTGGCCACCTTCGAAAATTAACCAAAGACATTTTCATATAGATTTCGTCATCCAAAAGTCATTTTCTGCTTTGTTTCTTCGAAAATTCCTATGATTTTTGCGTAATCGCCAACGGAAATATGATAATTTCTAAGACGTTTCAAATCCCATTTTCAAGCCGAATATCCCACAAACTTTGGTCCGGGACTATAAATCCGCTATATTTTTCAAAACAGTACGTCAAGGTCTACATTTCAGGATTTTTTGAAAATTTTTTGACAACTTTTCCAAAAACTAAAATTCTGACAATTTTGACAATTTTTCGACCACCTTCGAAAATTAGATAGATATTTTCTTGTACATTTCGATACCCAGAAGTAATTTTCGGCTGCATTTCTTTGAAAATTCCTATCCTTTTTCCAAAATCGACGATTGAAATATTTCCATTTTTAAGATTTTTAAAAAATTTCATTTTCAAAGTGAATTTTTCTGGAATTTTCGTCCGAGACTATGATGAACATTATATTTTCCAAATCAGTAGGTCAAGACCTGTATTCCATATTTTTTTGCGAATTTTTTCGCAACCTTTCCAAAATTCCTATTTTTCAATACTCCTTTTTTGACATTTTCGACCATTTTTGGCCACCTTCGAAAATTAACCAAAGATATTTTCATATAGATTTCGACATCCAAAAGTCATTTTCTGCGTTGTTTCTTCGAAAATTCCTATAATTTTTGCGGAATAGCCAATTGAAATATGTAATTTCTAAGACGTTTCAAATCCCATTTTCAAGCCGAATATCTCACAAATTTTGATCCGAGACTTTATATCCGATATATTTTTCGAAACAGTACGTCAAGATCTACAGTCCAGAATTTTTTGAGAATTTTTTGACAACTTTTCCAAAAAATAAAATTTTGACATTTTCGACAATTTTTCGACCACCTTCGAAAATTAGATACATATTTTCTTGTAGATTTCCATAACCAGAACTGGTTTTCGGTTCGTTTCTTTGAAAAGTCCTTCCGTTTTTCCAAAATGTATAACTGAAATATTGCAAATTTTGAAAGATTCTTTGAAAATTCAGTTTTCAGACCAAATTTTTCTGAAATTTTGATCCGGGTCTGTGAACATTATATTTTTCGAATCAGTAGATGAAGATTCCATAATTTTTTGAGATTTTTCTTGTAGATTTCGACTTCCAAAAGTCATCTTCGAAAATTCCTATAGTTTTTGCGGAATCGCCAACTGAACATATTGCAATTTTTAAGATTTTAATTTCGAGCAAATTTTTCTGAAACTTTGGTCTTGGACTATAAACACGCTATATTTTTCGAATCATCATGTCAGTATCTACATTACAGAATTTTTTGAGTATTTTAGAACAACTTTTTCAAAAGCTATTTTTTTCAATACTCCCAATTTTGACATTTTCGGCCATATTACGACAACGTTTGCAAGTTAGTTAAAGACATTTTCTTCCCGATTTCGTCATATAGAAACCATTTGCGGCTTCGAATCTTCGAAAATTTTCTTACATTTCCACAGAATTGTCAATTGAAATTTGGTAATTTCTAATAATTTTAAAATTCCAGTTTCAAACCGAAATTCTCACAAATTTTGGTCAGGGACTATAAACACGCTATATTTTTCAAAACACTATGTCAAGATCTAAATTGCGGAATTTTTTGAAAATTTTAGGATAACTTTTCCAAAAGCTGAATTTTTCAAAATTCCAAATTTTGACTATTTGACCATTTTACGAAACCGTTTGCAAGTTACTTAAACACATTTTCTTCCAGATTTCGTCATACAGAAGTAATTTTCGGCTTCGTTTTTTGAAAATTCCTCCCGTTTACTGAGAATCGCTAATTAAAATATGACAATTTTTTTTAGACTTTTAAAATCTCACTTTCTATATATATATAAAGACGCTACATTTTTCGAAATAGTACGTCAAGATCTACATTTCAGGATAGTTTGAGAATTTTTTGCCAACTATTCCAAAAGCTCAACTTTCGACAATTTCGACAGTTTTTCGATGACCTTCGACAATTAGCTAGATATTTTCTTGTAAATTTCGACATCCAGAGGTAATTTTCGGCTTCGTTTCTTCGAAAATTCCAATCGTTTTCCCAAAATCGTTTACTGAATTATTGCAATTTTTAAGTTTAAAAAAAAAAAATTCATTTTCAAACCGAATTTTTCTAAAATTTTGGTCCTGGACTATAAACACGCTATATTTTTCGAATCAGCACGTCAATTTCTACATTCCAGGACGAAAATGACGAAAAATACGAAAAGGACGAATAAGGATGAAAAATTACGAAAAGGACGAAAAAGGACAAAGAGGATGAAAAAGGAGGATAAAGGACGAAAAGGACTAAAAAGGACGAAAAATACGAAAATGAAAAATACGAATAGGACGAAAAAGCACGAAAAAGGACAAACACGACGAAAAGGACGAAAAAGAACGCAAAGGAAGAAAAAGGACGAAAATGACGAAAATGGACGAAAATGACGAAAAAGGACGAGACAGGACGAAAAAGGACGGAAAGGAAGAAAAAGGACGAAAATGATGAAAATGGACGAAACAGGACGAAACGGGACGAAAAAGGACGAAACAGGACGAAACAGGACGAAAAATGACGACAAGAATGAAAAATACGAAAACGATGAAGGACGAAAAAAGACGAAAAAGGACGAAAAGACGAAGAAGGACGAAAAGGACGAAAAGGACGCAAAGGACAAAAAAGGACGAAAAGGACAAAAAAGGACGAAAAATGACGAAAAGGACGAAAAAGGACAAAAAGGAAGAAAAAGGACGAAAAGGACAAAAAGGGACGAAAATGGACGAAAAATTACGAAAAGGACGAAAAAGGACAAAAAGGAATAAAAAGGACGAAAATGACGAAACTGGACGAAACAGGACGAAAACTGACAAAATAAGACCAAAAAGGACGAAAGAGACAAACATACGAAAAAGGATAATAAGGACGAAAAAGGCCGAAAAAGACGAAAAAGGACGGGAAGGATGAAAAAAGGACAAAAAAGGACGAAAGAGGAAGAAAAAGGATAATAAAGACGAAAAAGGACGATAAGGACGAAAAGGATGAAAAATACGAAAATGACGAAAAATACGAAAAGGACGAAAGAGGAGGAAAAAGAACGAAAAGGACGAAAAGGACGAAAAAGGACGAAAAGGAACAAAAAGGACGAAAAACACGAAAATGACGAAAGGGACGAAAAAGGACGAAAAGAAGGAAAAATGATGAAAAAGCACGAAAAGGAAGACAAGGACGAAAGGAGACGAAAAAGGACGAAGAAGGACCAAAAGGGCGAAAAAGGACGAAAGACGAAAAAGGACGATAAGGACGAAAAGGGAAGAAGATATTTTTTTGTAGATTTTGACTTCCAAAAATAATTTTCGGCTTCGTTTCTTCGAAAATTTTTACCATTTTTTCAAAATCGCCCATTGAAATAGTGCAATTTTTGATATTTTAAAATATTTTACATTTCCAACCGACTTTTTCTAAAATTTTGATCATGGACCTAAACACGTTATATTTTTCGAAAGACCACAAGAAAATCTACATTCCAGAATTTTTTGAAAATTTTTAGACAACATTTCTGAAAACTGAAAGTTTGACATTTTCGACAATTTTTCAACCACCTTCGAAAATCAGGTAGATCTTTTCTTATAGATTTCAACATACAGAAGTGATTTTCGGCTTCCTTTCTTTGAAAATTGCTACCGTTTTTCGAAAATAGACAATTAAAATATTGCAACTTTTAAGATTTTCAAAAAATACCATTTTCGAACCAAATTTTTTTGAACATTGTATTTTTCGAATCACTGGGTCAAAATTCCATAAGTTTTTCAGAACTTTTTTGCAACTTTTCCAAAATTCCAATTTTTCAGTACTCCCCTTTTTGACATTTTCGACCATTTTTGACCACCTTCGAAAATAAACTAAAGATATTTTCTTGTAGATTTTGACTTCCAAAAGTCATTTTCGGCTTCGTTTCTTCGAAAATTTTTACCGTTTTTTCAAAATCGCCAATTAAAATAGTGCAATTTTTGGTATTTTAAAACATTTTATATTTCCAACCGACTTTTTCTAAAATTTTGATCATGGACTCTAAACACGTTATATTTTCCGAATGAGCACATGAAGATCTACATTCCAGAATTTTTTGAGAATTTTTAGACAACTTTTCTGAAAGCTCAAAGTTTAACATTTTCGACAATTTTTGAACCACCTTTGAAAATCAGGTAGATATTTTCTTATAGATTTCAATATCCAGAAGTGATTTTCGGCTTGGTTTCTTTGAAAATTTCTACCGTTTTTCCAAAATAGACAATTAAAATATTGCAACTTTTAAGATTTTCAAAAAATTCCATTTTCAAGCCGAATTTTTTTGAAATTTTGCTCCGGTACTATGAACATTGCATTTTTCGAATCACTAGGTCAAGATTTCATAAGTTTTTGAGAATTTTTTTGCAACTTTTCCAAAATTCCAATTTTTCAGTACTCCCCTTTTTGACATTTTCCACCATTTTTGACCACCTTCGAAAATTAACTAAAGATATTTCCTTGTAGATTTTGACTTCCAAAATTCATTTTCGGGTTAGTTTCTTCGAAAATTTTTACCGTTTTTTCAAAATCGCCAATTGAAATAGTGCAATTTTTAATATTTTAAAACATTTTAGATGTCCAACCGATTTTTTCTAAAATTTTGGTCATGGACATACAGAAGTCATTTCCGAATCGTCAACCGATAGTAAACAAACCGAATATCTTGCAAATTTTGATCCGGGACTATTAACACGATATATTTTTCGAAACAGTATGTCAAGATTTACATTCCAGAATTTTTTCAGCCATTTTTGACGACTTTTCCAAAAGTTCAACTTTTGACACTTTCGAAAATCAGGCAAATATTTTCTTGCAAATTTCGACATCCAGAAGTAATTTTCGAAAATTATATCTTTCGAATCAGTAGATCAAGATCTATATTCTATAATTTTTTGAGAATTTTTTCGCAACTGTTTCAAAATTCCAATTTTTCAATACTCTTTTTTTGACATTTTCGACCATTTTTGGGAATGAATCATGTAGATTTGGAGATCCAAAAGTCATCTTCGGCTTTGTTCCTTCGAAAATTTCTATCGTTTTTGCGGAATCGAGACCAACTTTTTCTGAAATTTTGATTATGACTGTAAACACGCTATATTTTTCGAATCAGTTCGTTAATATTTTGAGAATTTTTGGACTTAATTTTAGTGACAGCTGTACGAAGTGATGTTAAGTACACTGGCGGTTTTAAAAACCAAACGTTGAACCACTGAAGTGCTTTAGAAAATGTAATAGTTAGGCAACCATATATACACACCGTAGTGGTTCATCTACTTTATTACTGTTGCTGTCCTATTCCGATTCAGAAGGCTCCAGTATTGACTAAAGAAAGAGGAAGAGGGAGCACGAAAAGGACATTACCACATTTTAAAAATAGAAAACAAACAGTGGGAACGTAGACAAAACAAGAAAAACGCCATGAAACAAGGCAGACCAACCAATTTAATAGCGAAATAGACGTCAAGCTAAAGCTTTGGGAGTTATGGATCATACACAGAAAAACGAAAATGGTGTAAAAAGAACACCGTCTTAGCCAAGATTAAAGCATCTCTTGAAAAGGAAAAATCTAAGAAAGGAAAATATTAGCAGTGGACATGAATAGTGAAATTTTTCACATCGTTTCACAAAAAAAAAATGACATCTGATTTATGAAAAAAGACCAAAAGTTTGTATCACCACGAACATCACATGTCTTTCAGCTAAAAACTTCCAACAGATCAATTTAAAACTTTCCTCGTCTATATCAACCAGAGTTCTCCCAAAAAACTACCTTTCAATAACTCAAGAAGATGCTTTCTTTAGTTCTCGGTCTCGGTATTGATCTCGCGATTTTCTTTCGTCGAGTGTTGAAAGTTGAAAGCTTTACAATTTATTTAAACCGCGGCTTTGACGAAGTACTTAATCACGCTTTATGTGCGAGGCGGGAAGACATATCTTCGTGGGATCAGCAAAGAAAAAATGGGTCTTTTCCTGCCTCACAGATTTTCCTTAGAACTAGGAATGGAAAAAAATCAGTCATCATTTAATGGATTATGTTACTGTTTTGAGTGTGTCGAAATAGGCCAGCAATATTATGCCAAAACACCCCAGGACTCCTTCAGGTCATTATTGCGTGACCGCGATTGGCAAACCCGAGCCACGCTTTTTATATCAAAGCATACAACTTTATGTTTACCTTTTACCGAAAACCCGATAATGACGCCACAAAAATAACAGTCTTCTAACGATTTTTGGCTTCGTAGCCCCGGATTACGCATTATGTGCTATGTTTATGTTCTGCGTATCTCGAAATGACTTAAAAATTTACGACAAAGCACCTTCGACGTACCTGACGATGAGAACGCTCTGTTTAAAGCTACTAGGCACTAAGAAAGCGGCAGCGAAGAAGAAGTTCGCCGTCTGGAAAAGCGGGTGCTGCGCCGGAGTCCACTCCTTGCAGAGGGCCCAGGAATCCCCCTCCGCCCCTGCGCTCGTGTTGAACGTCTGGAAGTCGTAGTCGTAGTCCGAGGTGTTGGTCAGATTGTAGATCTCCGTGCTGCTCCAGGTGGCGTTCTCCGGCAGATACGTGAAGTTCTTCGGTGGTGTCATCGTCGACGGCTTCTTCGTGGAGTAGTTGGTTTTGATGACGATTTTGGACATGTGAGTCCTCGACTGGATCAAAGGAACTTCCATTGTGCTTCCTAGAATGAGAGTTGAGCCGAAATCACCTCGATGGGGCACTCACCTTGGACATATTATTATCAGGTCTTCTCGATGGTTCTGGTTGATGATATGCTCGGTGACGGCTTCGGTAGGTGCATCGTCGCGGATTGTTGTTTTGCGCTCAAATATTTAGGAGAAAATTGGAACGGCGTGCGGTGTAACCTCATCGACACGCCCCATTCTACTGTTTCCCAGAAGAACACACAGGGATTTTCTCGAGATTAGAGGAAAAGCGCCCGAATTGGACGACTGCCTCATTGTATTCGTCCAATCGATAGCGGGCTGTTACGTCGGCGTTGGGGGCAGGGACGGACTAGGGATGACTTGAAATGAAGCCGCCGTTATTGCACACTAAGTGCCATAAGACGACTTAATTCGTCACAGCCGTGCAGGGGCAATTTCAGATATTTGACTCAAGGTTTGCTTCGTAAAACGTAAAAGTTTCACGTTAGCATCTGCTCAATAATTTTACAGTCTTAAACTTAAAGATGTCAGAGCGAATTCACAATTTTGCCCGTCTACACATTTAACTTCCTAGGCAAAATTTAAGCCCCGCCCACCCACCCCATCTCAATTGTGATGATTTTTTTTATTCATCATACTTAAAAACATGTTTCAGATGGTAATTTCTTTTGTAGAAAAAAGGATTTAACAATTAAATTTCGTCCCCCGACTCACGACGACTAAAAAAAATTATTACAATTGACATAGGGGTGGGTGGGCGGGGCTTAAATCTTTCCTTCTTTTCTGAACATATGTTATCTTTTTTCTCGACAAGATACTTAAAACTTTTTTGAAATCGTAAATTTTTGTCGGGGAATATCGATTTTACAATTAAGCTCCGCCCACGCTTTGACAACGAATGAAAAATTCGTCACATTTGAGGTTGGGGCGAGCTGGTGGGGCTTATTTTTTTCTTGACTTATATAGTGTTCCTTCAAAACGAGTTCCACATGATAGATTCTTATGGACAAATAAGCATTTTGCAGTTAAGCTTCGCCCCTCGGCTCACAACGAATAAAAAATGTCATCACAATTGAAATGAGGGTGGGTGGGCGGGGTTTTTATTTTGTTTTTTTTTCTCAACACATGTACGTAGTTTTCTTTGCACGACAAGAAACTAAAACTATGCTTAAAAATGGTAAATCTCTAGGGAAGTTTGGAGTATAAAATTTACCATTTTAAACATGGTTTCAGTCTTTTGTTGTGAAAAGAAAACAATGTATATTAAGAAAAAAAAAAAAAAGAAAAATAGAAGCCCCGCCCACCCGCCCCATCTCAATTGTGATACAATAAATCACCGTACTTAAAAACATGTTTCAGATGGTAATTTCTTGTGGAGAAAAAAGAATTTTACAATTAAATTTCGCCCTCCGACTCACGACGAATAAAAAAAATCATTACAATTGAGATGGGGGCGGGTGGGCGGGGCTTAAATTTTGCCGTTTTTTCTGAACATATGTTATCTTCTTTTCCCGACAAGATACTTAAAACTTCTTTGAAATCGTAAATTTTTGTCGGGGAATATCGATTTTACAATTAAGCTCCGCCTATGCTTTGACAACGAACGAAAAACTCATCACATTTGAGATTGGGGCGAGCTGGTGGAGCTTATTTAAAAAAAAATGTTTGACTTATATAGTTTCCTTTCAAAATGTGTTCCATATGATAGATCCTTATTGAGAAATAAGTATTTTGCAGTTAAACTCCGCCCCTCGACTCACGACGAATAAGAAAAGTCTTCACAATTGAAATAAGGGTGGGTGGGCGGGGTTTTTATTTTGTTTTTGTTTCTTAACACATGTACGTAGTTTTCTTTGCACGACAAGAAACTAAAAATATGCTTAAAAATGGTAAATTTCTAGGGAAGTTTGGGATATAAAATTTACCATTTTAAACATGTTTTCAGTATTTTGTTGTGAAAAGAAGATTATATATATTTAGAAAAAAAAAGAAAAATAGAAGCCCCGCCCACCCAGCCCGTCTCAATTGTGATGATTTTTTTAATTGCCGTGAACCCAGAGGCGGAGCTTAATTGCAAAATCTTTATTTACTCTGCAACAAATTACCATGTGAAACGTTGTTGTTGTCATAGTAGGGGAGGGGGATACACAGTCTCTTTTTCCCACCATACGTGAAACCATGTTGTTGGCGGCGGCTGGGTTGGGCTTAAATTTTGCCTTCTTTTCTGAATACATGTTATCTTTAAGCTCCGCCCACACTTTGACAACGAATGAAAAATTCATCACAATTGTGGTTGTAGCGAGCTAGTGGGGCTTATTTAAAACATTTTTTTTCGACTTATATGGTTTTCTTTCAAAACGTGTTCTATATGATAGATTCTTATGGACAGATAAGCATTTTGCAGTTAAGCTCCGCCCCTCGGCTCACGACGAATAAAAAAAGTAAGCACAATTGAAGTGAGGGTGGGTGGGCGGGGTTTTTATTTTGTTTTTGTTTCTTAACACATGTACGTTGTTTTCTTTGCACGACAAGAAACTAAAAATATGCTTAAAATGGTAAATTTCTAGGGAAGTGTGGGACATAAAATTTACCATTTTAAACATGTTTCAGTCTTTTGTTGTCAAAAGAAGACTATGTATATTAAGAAAAAAAAAAATAGAAGCCCCGCCCACCCACCCCGTCTCAATTGTGATGATTTTTTTTATTTGCCCTGAGCCCGGAGGCGGAGCTTAATTGCAAAATCTTTATTTCTCTACAATAAATTAGCATGGGAAACATTGTTGTTGTTGACATACTAGGGGAGGGGCCTAGTATGTCAACAACAACAACAATGTTTCACATGGTAATTTATTGTCGAGAAATAAAGATTTTGCAATTAAGCTCCGCCTCTGGACTCACGGCAAATAAAAAAATCATCAAAATTGAGACGGGGCGGGTGGGCGGGGCTTCAATTTTGCTTTTTTTTCTTAATATACATAGTCTTCTTGTCACAACAAAAGACTGAAAACATGTTAAAAATGGTAAATTTTATACCCCACACTTCCCTGTTGACATACTAGGGGAGGGGGATACACAGTCTCTTTTTTCCCACCACACTTGAAAACATGTTGTTGATGGCGGCTGGGTGGGGCTTAAATTTTGCCTTGTTTTCTGAATATATGTTTATCTTTAAGCTCCGCCCACGATTTGACAATGAATGAAAAATTCATCACTTTTGAGGTTGGGGCTTATTATTTGGCTTTTTTTCTTGACTTTCTTTCAACAACATGATGCTTAAAAACCTGTTCCACATGATATATTCTTGTAGAGAAATAAGCATTTTGGAAATAAGCTCCGACTCGAAACACAACGAATAAAAAAGTCACCACAATTGAGACGAGGGTGGGTGGGCGGGGTTTTATTTTTCAATTTTTCCTTAACATATATATGTATTTTTTTTTTCATGACAAGGTATTAAAAATATGCTTAAAAATGGTAAATTTGTAGAGAAGTATCCCCCACACTACTCGTGGGATTACATGCCTATGTTCAGATCAGTGTCGGTGTCGGTGTCGGTGTTAAAAAAATTTGGACTTTCAGAAGTTTCAGGAATAAGAGGTAGAGGTTCTAATGAGGTAGAAATACCACCCTTCCCTGCTGAATTGAAGTCTTTTGAAGGTTCCCTCTCCTCAAATATGTAAATAAAGTCATACAGTAGTAGTTATATAGTGGGGGTTCTAGACCAGGTCAAATGAGGTCAAACTGGTCCAGCTCCCCCATTACTTTTCATCGAGCGGTCATTGACCTTTCATTTGTTGTCGAGCTTGTCGGTGCACGTGGCTGACCTTGCCAGCTGGTCCAGCTCCCCCATTACTTTTCATCGGGCGATCGTTGACCTAGTCGTTGCTCGACCTTGGTCGTTTATTGCCCTCGTTCATCTCGAGATCTATCCCCTCTTTTCGTTTAGGTCGGGGAGGGATCTCGGACGCAATCTCGCATCCCCACTTCCGTTTTATACTTGTATAAAAGTCGATGGATTCGTGTGTAAGAATTAATTAGTTTTTTGAATTCAATTATTTAACACTTAGAAATGTCATCTTTCATTTCTACCTTGAATAAAGAGTCTCACTTGCAAGCTTTTGTGAGTGCGAAAACTTTAGAAGAAAATAAAAAATTTTTAACAAAAAATTTTAGTAAACTGTCTACAAAGTACGGTGACAAGATATTTGTGCAACTTGAAGAGTCTAGAACGATACTTCCACAGAGATTTACCGAAAAATTCACCGACTCAGTGATCAGCGATCTGAACCAGAAGATCGTGAACGGCTTGAAATTGTACTTGGTAAATAGAGGTCCGATCGGTCGAACCATCAATATCGAATTTATCGAAGAATGAAGAAGGCATTGGTTCATGTGGAAAACAAATCAAGTGCAGTTAGACTGCTTCGTCGTAGATTAGAATTACATTTAAAACGAATTAGTTATTTAAAAGAAGCAATTAAAATGTATGAAATAAGAACTAAATTGAATAATCTTAAGCTGTAATAGAAATTATAATAAATATTATTTAATTCGTTCGGTGTATTATTTTCCCCAGTCTCATGTAAAAAATATTTGATTGCAAACTGGCATGAATAACAGACGTGTTTGTTTCGACAAAGTTCCGGTTATTTTCTTAATAAATGATAAAGAAAGCCGAATTAATACTTGGTTATACGATGTTAAAAGATTTCAAATGAATGTGGAACGTTTCGAATTGCAAATAAAGCCCTTAATCGAAAAAATGATGGAGAAGAAGCGAAAATTTAGAGAAACAATCGAAAAATTGGATTCAGAATTGAAAATTATTCAGCAAAGAAAATCAGTTAAATAACTGTGCACATTGCGGTTAAACCACTGCGTCGTAAATTAGATTTAAATTTAAAACTTATTAGTTTCTTAAAATGTATAAAATACGAACTAGTTTGTATAATCTTAAGCTGTAATTGAAATTATAATAAATATTGTTTATTTCGTTTGGTGTATTATTTTCCCCAGTCTCATCTAAAATTATTTAATTGGGAATAACAGCAACGAATAAAAGCCGTGTTTGCTCCGACAAAACTCCTGTTATTTTCTTAATAAATAAATGTTCATCAGCAACTTTCTGCCGATTTAAGCTTATTTGTCCGTGATTATTAGAATAAAATCTCAAATGTCAGAAGGCGAGTGTGTTGTTAAAAATTAAAAAAATTGTTACTTACGACATTGAAAACAGGCAATAAAATCATCCGTTCTCCCTCGAAAACATTCAAATACACGCACACTTCACAGAAGCCACCATTTAGTTCAACAAAACCACCTTTTTCCCAAATCTTTTCACGGTAAAATTCATAAACCGAAACACGCCGCCCGTCATTATTACAACACAGAATGAAATAACGCGATGCTGTTTCAGCAAATTCTTACGGAACTGGACGCTTTTGTCGCAATAGACAGGGACGTATTCGGAAATATTAAAAAAAAAGAATTATCGCTTGAGGGTGATAAAGGGCAGAAAGTTTGTTAAAAAAATAAAAATGCATCCCTATAAACTAATGACACATTTGTGTAAAAATAAATGTGGGTTGGAGGTGCAATAATTGTTTAAATATAAAAAAAAAATGTTTTACTCGAAGACGGTAAGAGATACGAGGTTCGTGCAAAGAACAAAAAAGTTCCTAAAATACGAAACACATGCACCTGTGTCGACGGTTTTTAGTTTGAGTTTAGCATTTCGGAGAAAAGGGCAAAAGTTTGTGGTGACCAAACGGAATTAGTTAAAAATTTGTTTTTTGTGTCAAAATATTTTTGGATGAATAATCAATAGGTCCATGTAATTAAATATGTGAAAATTTGAGTTTGGGGCGCAACAATTTTTGTCAAAAAAGGTTGTCAAAATTCGAAAAAAAGTTTTCCTTGAGCAGTAGGAAAGTAAATTAGAAGTTTTGGTGAAAAAAAAAATTTAAAAAATTCAAAGAATCCAAAGAAAAATTAAAACAAAAAAAATCTCAAAAAAAAAATCCAAATTTTGAAAATTTTGTTTTTCCACAAAATCAAATGCATATTCATGAAGTACTATCTAATCGTGTGTAAAAATGATTATGACTCATAGGTGTATCTACCGTTTAAATAGAAAAAATTTTTGTTACTCGAAAATGGTAAGAGATAGGAGGTTCGTGTATAGAGCAAAAAAGATTGACAAAAACAAATAATATCGACAGCCGTCGACGGTTTTTCGCTAACTTTTGACATGACTGTGAAAAGGGCAAAAGTTTGTGGCGCCCAAACGGTAAAACTTAAAAAATATATTTTTGTACCAAAATATTTCTGAGTGAACAGTCTATAGGTCCACTTAGCAAAATAAATATTTTTTGCTACCGTTTAGTAGTAATAACGAAAAAACGTCATAGTTCGTAAGCGGTAAGAGGTAGCATGTCGGCTCAGGGGAACGGGGAAAAGCTAAAAAAATTAAGCCATATGTTGAGCAAAAAAAATTTTCAAAAAAGTTGAAAATAAGGGAGAAAAGGGCAAAAGTTTCTAGTGTCCAAATGGTAAGAGATAGAATATCGGTTGTATACATCAAAACCTTCTTCTGGAACGAACGCATAAGTTTGCTCAAAAAAATCGATTCTGTCCACATCGACCTAGATACAGGAGCCATTTCTAGTTTTTTCGAGGTCGCTACGTAAAAATTTTTTCAGGTCGAAAAAAAGACCATCGAAAAAGGATTCGAATAAGCCCAACATGCAACACTTAAAAAAAAAAAAAAAAAAAAAAAAAAGCGAAATAAGTTGTTCTTTATATGTATTGTTATATGACTACTACCATCACAACTAAATATACTAAGACATTAAAAAAAAAAAATTTCAAGTTAACCAAAAACGGCTTTTTGTTGAATTTTATATGAAAACAACAAAACATCATTAAAAAACGAAAATCAAAAACCTATAAACAATCATCAAAAATCACTGCTGTGGTGGTGGATCATGATGAGTCATATCGTGCAGCTGGACAAATAATTTAAAACATATTAAATAACTTATTGTTGTATTAAATCGTAGTACTGATGCTGTTAAATAAATATGTTAAAGGACATTAAATAAAACTATTAATAATAACTAATTGTTTTATTGAATCATACATTTGTTTGAGTATTGTATTTACTAAAATAACTGAAACAAATTAGTACTAAATAAAGTAACAGACAAAATACGATTGCAAAAATAATTGCTCCTACTGAAGTAAATATCCATATCCATGGTTTTGCCAAACAATATTCTGTAACATTTGCACCTGTAGAATTCTTGTATCCACTATAATCGTTAAAGATGGTGTAATTCGGAGACTTGCATCGAGTGTTGTCTTTGAAGACTAATTCTAGCCGATATTGCAGTTGGTTCGAGGAAGATACATATTTTGAATAAAACATACGTAGTTGTTCATGCCCATTTTTAATTTCTAACATTTTTCTAACAGTACATTCTTTACTACTATCAATAGTTTGTAGATAGACATCAGTAACATTGCTATCAGTCAATAAATAAAAATCTTTCTGAATTAGAATGGTTGATAGAACAAGTGTGCAGTTTAAGCCGAACATTGTTTGGATGAAATGAATAGTTTGTTGTTGCGGAATTCTATATATATAGCAACAACCATCACCACCACCATTAACGAGCAGCCAGGTCCCAACATCCCACTATTACAGTCATTATCGTGAATATGACAAAAAATGAAGCAAACCATACACGATCGTTTCTTAAACAAAAATCAATGACCTCCTTTGAACTGCGACTGTTCTTAGTATTTTCTATTATTAACCAATTGGAAAATTGGTGATTTTCTTCTTCCGTTTTTATCTTGTACGTCAAATGATTCTGCATTGTTATATTTTTCGCATAGAAGAGGTGATAACTGGTTTCGATTAGATTGATCGGAGTCATTTTTTCCCAAAATTCTTTTTCGTACGTCTAAATATACAGCAGACTTATATTTGAAGTGGTGTAAATATTCAAGTTGTTTTCAACTAGCACACTTAATAGTATTAACACATTGCTAGGCAGACACATCTTAGACTTATCTTCTTGTACACAGACACAAATACTTAGTTGTGGTCGTTGATATTTGTAGGGAAGAAGTTTTTAGAGGTGGTAAATGATGGTGTGGTAAATGATGGTGGTGGGGTGATAGCGATAGAAATAACAAATTATTGTTTTCTTATATATTTGTTAAATGTCGCATGGTAGGCGTTTAAGGCTGTTCTATCTAAAAACAGGGATCTATCTAACTTTGGGACATAGGTCCCTGAGAATTCGTTGTCCCAGTTTTCCACTTGCGGTGGTGTTGGTGGTGGTTGGCTGAACCACTTTGATGGTGGTGGGGGTGGTGTAGATGGTCTTGGAAGTGCATTCTCCCAGAGTTTTCGCTCCCTTTCCCAGGCATCCCGGTGGCATTTGAAAATATGCTTTCTCAGCCTATTCTCTAAAAGCCTGTGGCTGACATCATAGGGGCAGATAACAAATTTCTCTATACAAAAAAAAAAAATAAATACTACAAAAAAAATATATATATATAAGCTTACCCATTTCTGTCGTTAATTAATTTTTATGATATGTACTTGCAGAACACTTATTAATCTGTTCTTTTGTGTGATCTTTAATTTATACACTATATTAATCCCCACCCCTACTTTTTTCCCTCCTTCAGTTGCTTTCCTCATGTTTCATTTTTCGCTGACTTGAATTTATTTTTTACGACCACGTTTTCAACTACGACTTGCAAGTTGTAACTTGCAAATTAATTCTCATATAAACAAGAAACTAGTCAACGGGAAATAGTAGTGTTTCTTTTTTTCTGCTGTGGTGAGCAAGTTTCACGACAAAAAATGAAATCACAAGAATCAGTGACGGCTATATGTAAAAACTCTCTTAAGCTAATTCATGAATACATAAGTAAAATCAAAACAATCGAAGAAACTAAACATTTTTTAGTTTATATCAATACCAGTATTAGAATAATTAGAAAAGCACTCAAATGTAAAATCCATCGAGAAAATATGTTGGAAAACGCAAATTCCTTAGAAACAAGTTTGGCGTATTTGAAATTTTATCGCCTAAAGCTTTTAAATAAGAAAAAACAATTATCTATAAAAACTGGTGAAGGCTATATTAAAACAGTCAAATTTAAACCGGTGACTAATGTAACATGGCAGGATGTCGAATCCTGTTTTCAACAACGAATTCGTACAGGATTTATAAGTAACCACCACATTAAAGATCCTCTTCAGTTTTTTCAACAATCTTTTAAATGCTTTATGTTTAGAATTAAAAAAGAACGGAAAAACTCAATGCTTAAGGTAAATGTAATTTTTTCCGCAAATTTTATTCAACCGCACTCTGGTGAAACAGACATTAAAACATTTTCAACAAAAAATCAGCACATTGATCAATACACAAATTTAAAAGAATGGTACGAAGAAAACGTCATTGATAAAATCATGAAAAAATTAGAGGAATTTGCAGAAAAGGATTCCGGTTGGGCGTTGTATGAAATTTTAGGATTGAAAATTAACATAAATAAATACGACCCAATTAAATTCGGCTATTCAACTTTTGTATCCACACCAGATTTTATAAAAAAAAAACATGCAATAATTAATGTACAAAATAATGATGAATATTGTTTTCTTTGGGCCATAGTTTCGGCTTTATTTCCTACCGATAAACATTCAGACCGAAAATCATCGTATCCTCATTTCAAAAATGTGTTGAAATATGATAATTTAGACTTCCCAATCACAATTAAAGACATTCAAAAATTTGAGGAACTCAACAATCTTGCCATTAATTTATACTGCATCGAGAAGAAAAAAATTTTACCTTGTCGTTTAAGCACTAGATTTTCAAATTCTTATAAAGCAATTAATTTGCTTATGCTACCCGCTGAAAGACAAATACAAAATACTAATAACAGTAATGATAACTTTGAAGATCAACAATTGCTCTATCATTTCGTATGGATCAAAAATTTGTCAGCTCTTTTAGCTACGCAACTTTCCCTCCATAAATGTAAATTTCATATATGCGAAAGATGCTTAAATCATTTCACCACAGAGGAATTGCTCCAAAAACATAAAACTTCATGCCAGAGTATTAATAAATATTCCATAAGACTGCCAACAGAAAACGAAAATTACTTGTATTTTCAAAATTATAGACATCAAGAAAAAGTACCTTTTACTATTTATGCAGATCTCGAGAGTATTCTTCTTGATTGTACCAAACAGCATATGTCCACCACGAATAAGACCGAAACTTATCAAAAACATATTGCGCACAGCATTGCTTACTATTTTCACTGCTCATATGATAATTCATTTTCTAAATTTCGTTTGTATCGAGGTAAAAATTGCATTCAATGGTTCGTTCAGGAGTTACATCGAATGGCTCATTTCTGCAACGATAAATTTCAGAACGTTATTTCTATGGAAACATTAACTACGGAAGAACGTGAGCAGTTTGAATCCTCCCAAATATGTCATATATGTAAAAAAGGATTTTCGGAAAAGAACATAAAAGTACG